AATAGCTGTCGTTTTCGTGAAGTCATACTGATTCTGATTAGAAAGTCTCTTTGAGCTTTTTGTCATATGCAAAAAACTGTCAGTCTTATTAGTATTTTCCATTAACGACTAACAGATTGATGTACAGTTGATAAAATAATTTGTCATAACTAACTGCAGAAATCACCATGATTAATTGCAATGCCTTAGTAAGAGGTAGCTTTTTTTACCCGACTTCCTCAGAAGGAGGGTGTGGGTATAGATGTATGTATGCGGGACCCCTATTTTTGAACGAGTAGGGAATGTTTATCAAATTCTAATATTTGTTGACATTTATCAAATAATTTTCTGAATGCCTTCATTCTCAGCAAAATAATACGTTACTGGCTTCTTTTTTTTATACTTCAACTATCACGAAGGCCTAAGGCCTAAGCACCCATTGGGTACCGTGGGGCTATAGGGGGATACATGAGAAAGGGGGGGGGGAGGATGCCACACGGACTCTGGCGAGGGAACACGTGTGAATGCAACATGCACACATTCTAGCTCCGCCTACGAGATCCGCCGGGTGGTACCTCCGCGTTCGACAGTCAGAGACCGTCTACCACCTACGGACAATCACAACATCCATAGCCAAGAGAAAAATTCCTCCTGGGACGGGACTCGAACCCGCACAGCGCACGGCGACTGATCAGGAGACCGAAGAGTCTACCGGCCACCGCTGCTGCCTAATAATGAAAAGCTCCATCACAAAGTTAACTTAATCTTTATAGATGAGACATGGAAGACAGAGAGGCGTCCTCACCGCATGCCAAATCTATTTAAACTGGAGAACTTATAAAATAAGTACGAAGCATCATGATCATTGATTTAACAATAATGGCTCACTTCGCATACTGTTAGCATAAAATGGTGCTTCTTCACGTATAACAACAAAATGTACTTTTTAAGTAGTACCAATCTGACTTTGACACACTGATACTGAATTCTCAAAAAAACATTATCGACCTGTTTTTTTAGCTTCCGGTAAAAACGTCACTGACGTATTTTCACGGTTTTTGGCGAGCAAAATGTAAAGCTACAGGAATCACTTTCAAACATCGATGTCCCTCACTCATACATGTGCAATCGGCCTTTATGCCCGGACATTTGTTTGTCTTGTTCCACCGCCATGAAGATTTTCTCATCAACGTACGAGACTTCAACATTTATGCTTGTCATTCTGAGCATGGCAGCTTGTTTGGCAAGAGCGTGCGATTTGTATTTACCTTTAGTTGATCTACGATATAAAACAGTAACACCTTAGTATATAAGGAAAACCAAATTTGGCTTTCCCATGCCTGCATACAGAGACTTAGTGCCAATGTCTCTTATGCTGATTTGTTTGTCTGTGTGTCTTTGACTTCGTTCCTTGTTGTGCTTTTTGGCGCGCCCAAGGCAGGTTCTGGGCCTGTAAAGGGTGCGGATGATCCTTTCCTTGCGAGTTCATCCGCCATTTTGTTTCTTGTGTTACCTCAATGTCCTGGCACCCACATCAAAAGTTACTTCGTTGTGTTCTGCCAGTGTTCAGCTCTTGTTGGCATTCCCAGATCAATGCAAATGTGATTCTGGGACCTCCTAACGCTGTGAGTGACGCCTGACTGTCATTGAATATGGCGATCCTCTGTGTGCACCTCTGATAATATACTGAGTGACAAAAAAGGTAAACACCTACGTATGTTTATTAGAATTCAAGAATTTTTTACATGCCATGAACAACAAGTCTTAAAATGGGCAAGTTTGTCTGTTAAGTTTTTGTGGTGGCTGCATGTATTGTTTGGTGATAAAGGAGCATTCAGCTTTCGTACAATTACGGTGTCAGTTAAATGTTAAATTTCGTGTAGCTTATTGGAAAGCCTTTTCGTGATTGCTCAAAATGTCTAGAGTACGTAGTGTCTCAGCTAAGTGACTTTGAGCGCATGGAGGGATGGTTGTTATGCGTACGGTATACTGATGAATACGACTGTTTGGCCTTTTTTCTTATCGCCCTCATTGTGTGCTACGTCTGACAGCAGAACATCGGCGTAATCGTTTGGTCTGGTGTAGAGAAAGAATTTTTTGAGACCGGGAATGGAATAAGGTGGTCTTCAGTGACGAATCCCGCTTCTGTCTGGGGATGTACGAATGTCAGGCAAGAGTGAGGAGGCGGCTCGGTGAAAGACGTGACCCACAATTTGATGGAGAGCGTCACGTTCATCACACCGTGGGAGTTATGGTATGGGGTGCTATTGCTTGTGGTAGCAGGTCACTAGTAATCTTCATCACAGGCAATATGACAGCCCGACGCTATATTCAGGAAGTAGTGGAACCTCATCTTACTTCATACCTAAACACCATCCAAAACCCGATTATTTAGAAAGACAATGCCAGACCGCATGTTGACAGAGCATCGTTAGCCTTCATGGATCAACATCGTTGGCCATCATGATCGCCTGACCTATGTCCAATTGAACATATCTAGGACATGATAGGTCGCAGGCTCTTGAATCTGTAACACACTCCACAGACTCTAGCAGCTTTTACTCACGAAGTTGCAGTAGCCTGGAATGAGATACCGCAACAGGATATCGACCACCTTATCAGCACGATGCCCAGGCCTGTCAATGAGTGTACAAGAAATCGCGGATCCTCAACATAATATTGAACCATCTTCTGCAGTCAGTTGACGAATCAAGCTGAAAATTCAATCATTTTACTAGGGACACTGAACATATATGCCAAAAATTATTAAAAGTATATAAACGAGTACTAAATATCTCAATCTGGTTTCGAGAAGTGTAAATATAGAGAATGATCAAAGACAGACTAGTATGAAAACCTTACGAAAACGAAGAATTTCCGGACGTACGCAATTCTTATATTTTAAAGTGTAGAATATTTGTCTAAAAAACATTCTGTAACATCGTGTAAATGGAATGAAACAAAAAAAAACATTTTTGAGTACTTACTGGTTCGAACCAGCCCCATAAAGGGGTAGAATGCTGGCCACTGTGAGATCCGTGTCATAATCAAAATCGATGTGAATATCGGAAACATCAACCGTAATATTAGTTTTACCTGCCAAGCCTGACTTTATTCGGCTTGCTACGATATTGTGAATGCCTGCTACCTTCAAATCAGAAATTCTTAAGTAGCCACTGAAACAGAAAATAATAATATAAATATAGCTTGGCGACCTATGACGCATTTTGTCGACCCCGTTGTACCAACATGCTTAACTATTATTGGCAACTGATTATTAGAAAGTTTTGAGACTCTTGTTTTGCTACTTCGTTATGATCTTTGTTATTTCAGTTTTGGGTAGTTGCGAGAAAACAGAAAATCCTTCGTTGTCCGTTATCTAAACATAGAGCTCCGTTGGTTATGGAGAATAGTGGTGTGCTGATTCTATAAGGTTATTTTTTCCTTACAAAGCACTGTTGTCAGGATTCGTACAGCTGGGAAAGCTTGATTGAAATAATTTTATCTTATCAAAAAATATTGGATAAATAATATAAATATGATTGAAAGAAAACACGCCGTGACACGTCAAAAGATTTGTCAATGGGGACAAGGGTCATCCTTTTGAAAACGGGCCTTTCAAAGTCCTTTATGTTGGTGTATGGTTTTTTAAAATAGGTCGATCCATTTCTAAGAAAATTAGAAAAATCTTTATTTATCTTAATTTGTTCAGGTAGGTAACAACAACACACTAAAATATCACTTTTTATTTCAATCAGTGCTCTAAATGTTGCCCGTCTTACGGTCCCAGACACATAAACAACTATTATTTCATAGAGTACATTTTTAGACAATGAAGGTAGCACTCCCTAATAGGTGCTGTAATTTTTCTTGCCTACAAAATCTGAATAATGTACATTTCTGACATATGCATGTCGCCTCCACTTAGCTTCTCCTAAGTCACAACGTGAAGCTTTTCTTTTTGTCTTCAAAGAAGCGATGACAGTTCCAGTATTATTTTTCATCTTATATAAACAGAAAACGAACAAGTAATAATTAGGGGAAGTCCAGGAGAGTTTAGCATTGAGGAGACATTAACCATTCAAAATATCAGCCAGACGCTACAACCTAATACAGGTCTGTATGTCCTTGATATACTAATAATTTGTCCCTATTGTCATTCTTTACCCTCACATGACTAGGGTGGTTCTAGTCAACTCTATGTAGATGTCATAGTACACCTAATATTTTTTTATTGGGATTAGTTTCCACTCCTTTAAGACTATACATTTAGTAGGGTTATTACTTTTCGGTGAAACAGCAAATATTTTTAATCTCTTATAGTTTTTATAAAACTAAGAACAAATTTAAAATAGTGCGGGCTCGGAACGTTTATCCATATTGCAGCGAGAGACCATACAACAACATTTTGTCAGCATAATAATATCAGTTGGTTACGCATAGCATGATGTCTAAAGAAAGCAACTCCAGATCTCCAGGATTATGCAACGAAAAATTAGTGATACATGCCTCTATAATAATGGTGAAGAATTATGTTTTAGGATAGTCTGCTAGTACTTTACCTAAAGAAGTATTCGTTCCATTGTGCTGAAATGGAGATAAACAGTTTTGTTTTAATACACCTTCAATCAATTTACGCTGCAGTGAGTGATCTGAAAATTATATCCCTGAGTTTCGTCGATCGCCGATTCAGAAACACCATTTCTTTTGTCTTTAATAATTCAGAACATTTTGAGATTTTCTTACTCAAGTAAGTAATATTACATATATATTCTTCTATGATTTACGATTGATATAACTGTTTTTTCATTATGTAAAGTAATACTGACAAAATTTGGTTTTTAATAACAACAAATATGTGCCTTCAATAAATGATGTTAAATATAACGATTTTTTATTATCAACGCAAAATCTCCCGACACCTGGGGTAATGTCTCCCATCGACGCGAGAGACGTAAGCCAAATGTCAATTAAATTGTGTAAGGTATCCTCATAAGTAATATACTGGGCTTTACCATTATACTTTAACCAGGCGTATGTTCATTTTACTAGAAACTATGTGCTCTTTTGTGGAAAACTGTTGATTCTCCCGGACTTCCCCTACCGGTAAGCATATGCAGTGATACTTACTCCAAGAGGGTCTGATTGTTAAATACCAAGTTGATAGTTTTGTTGATGTTAAGAGGGTCAGGTACTGTCTTAATGATTGTGTTCAACGTCGTATTGATTAAAAATTCTATCGGACCTTCCAGTCTTTGGGCCTTAAGAGATTCTGGAAATAAGTTGACACTAAGTTCAACATCGAAACAGCTTATAACAAAGACATCAGCTCACAATACCAAGACTGGGAGCAGCAGTATTGAAAAGCTCATTGATCTGAAACTTGAAATAATAAAATCGAGTACAATAATTTGAATATTTTTGGAAAAACGTTGGAATAATACAACCAGCATGTTATTTTATGTATTTTATATTTATTCCTATCAGCATAAAATGTGACGCCTATGGCAGCCTTTCCTTCCACGTAAAAGACCAAATTGAACTCCATACTCTTTCAGTTACGTAAAGATATAATACACAACTCGTCCTTATTTCATAATTATTCTAAGTCTCACAGTATCCTTGTCTTTGTTTCTTACCTTCACCTTCCCAATTGGCACTCACAATTCCCACCATTAGCAGAGAGTATACCGAAACTAATTTAAAAACTCTCATTTTTAGACGGATGAAGTAATGTATTGAATCTGAATTTAAATGATGACATGGCAAATAGATTTTGTACAATTGTATTTATAGATTCAGCGGAGATTTATATCAATCGAAATTTTAGATAAGATTATGTACAAATCGTCACGTCATTGTGCAGGGCAACATTTGACAGGATGTATACTAGTTTTGGATGTATATTATCTACAAGATATGAAAACTATTCCAATCAAGATGACCTGACACTTGAATAGCAGTAGAAAATAAAATCCAGCCACTCAGACATTTAGAAAGCGAATCAATTAAAAGAGGGGAAACAGCTTGATGATAAAGAAGTTCACGCTAGCTAGCCCTTGAGGCCGAGCTCATCGCTTACATTAAGATGGCTCTAGGTCCTGTATCTCATATAACTTTTGGCTCCAGCACGTAGTCTGCTAAAGGTGAACAGTTCTTGTCCTGACACCGACAGACATAGTAATCAGCCAAGGGCGGACTTAGCATTTCGGCTAGGGGGGAGGGGCGCAAGCGATATTTGGGGCTAGCAATTTTTAAACCCCCAGTGGAACTTCCAGAATTAAGCCTACTATTGCTCCTTCAATCCATTGTGTTCTATCTGGTCAATGCTAGTTTGAAAAAAAAACATGGAAAATGCTCAGAAATCCCTAATCCCATATTATATGGGAACAAAATAAGTATGTGGCATTTATAATTAACTAATGTAATGATATTAAAGATTCAAAACATAAAAAACTTGATTGCTCTGTTAACCGAAAAAAAGCATTCTGAGGGACCCCGAGACATATCTCAGTCCATTCCACATAAAACAATGTCTTTGATGGCAAAAAAGAACATGAGACCGAAAAATTCACATTATAGAATGGACGCTAGACCAGAGAAAGAAGGATTTCTATAGACCATCTATAGATCGTGTCTTGAGACAGTCTCCAGGCTGCCTATAAACCAATTGCGCAACGGGGACTACTAGTGTGTACTAAGCTGAAGGATTTAGACTCTGACCTGCCCATTAAACAAATCGAGTAATTGGTACAAATACTGACACAATCTAGCACTTCTATTATACAGGGTGCGGCAGAGAGGATGGACTGTTTTAAAAAAATCATAAAATAGTTAATTTTTACTCGAAAACAAATTTATTGATGGAATCAGGTTCACAAGGAAATAGCATTTGAGACAGTCAAGTGTGGAAAATCACATCAGGCATGTGGTGGCCGAAATCGTTGATGCAGTGCTGGAGGCGTTCTTGGAAGTTCGCGTAGACTCTCTCCAACATCGCTCTCTCAACTTGGGCGACTTCCACGCGAATTTCGCCCTTCAATTCATCCAGAGTTCGGGGCTTGTTCGCGTATACTCTAGCCTTGAGGTGTCCCTATAAGAAAAAATCGTATATGGATACATCTGGGAACCGAGGAGGCCAATGAACATCGCTAAACCTGGAAATAAGGCGACCAGGGAAGAGAGGGCGAATAACGTTCATGGATGCTCGGGCTGTATGGGCGGTCGCCCCATCCTGCTGCAACCACATACGTCGGATTGGAACACGTCGCCGTCATAATTCAGGGAGAAAGAAGTTGGTGATCATGTCGACGTAGCGCTCTGAGTTCACGGTAACATCACGACCATTACCGTCTCCGAAGAAGTAAGGGCCAATGATGCAAGTTTGCGATACAGCGCACCAAACCGTTACTTTTGGGATGTGCAGCGGTCTTTCGTGTAACTGTTGCGGATTTTCATTAGCCCAATAATGACAATTCTGCCGGTAAACCATGCTGTTTAGGTGAAAGTGGGCTTCATCACTCATAAACAAACTGAGGTTCTCATTTTGATCGATCAGTGCTTCCATCTCATGTGCGAAGTTCATTCGTTGTGCATAATCTCCGGGCTGTAACTGTTGCACAATGGCCAATTTGTAGGGGTGAAAGCGGAGATCCATATGCAAAATTCGCCTTACCGAACGATCACTAAGGCGAAGTGCAGCAGCATGTTTCCGGCCAGATCAAGTCGGACTGCGAAGAAGGACCTGTCGAACGCGTTCAACATTTTCAAGAGTTCGAACTGACTCATTATTTCGGACGAAACAATCATAGGCGAAAACGCGGTGCTCCACCGTCCAAGGCTCCATAACGACAACTGGTAAAATAATGCTAGGATCTCACGAGTCAAACGGCACCCTCCCCACCTCTCTCGTAGACGGAGGCGGAGAGTACTACCCATCCCAAAAACGTCCGTCCTCTGTGCCGCACCCTGCATAAGCATGTGATAAAAATATGAATAGGTATAGTCATTTTTTTACCTCAATACAGATGTTACAGTTATTCTTCAGAATTTCGTTGTCGAACTCAGATTTGTTGTTTTCTCATTTTTCAAATCGGTTTTGATCGCATGTAAAAATGTTGTAAATCTTTGGGAAAAACTATATATCTGTCAGAGCGTAATTATTTTGTATGTTTGTACGGAACAAGTACAGGAATACAGGGCTGTACATATCCACGTGTAGTGCAGAAGCTCTGTGGTTGATATGAATATTCAATATAGCAACATTCGCTGGAACAGATGCGGGACGTGTGGTATTGACTTTGAGCATCGATCGACGCATTATCTGGACAGGCCAGATGCTTTCATCCAACATAGTGCTTCGCAGCAACAACAAAATCAGTCAAGCACTTTTCACACACTTTTCAAATTAGGTACTATTGAGCAACAAACAGAACATAAATCAATTTTTAAGTGCAATCTGTATTGCTAATATATTACTCCGGCTTAGAATTGTCACAAGTCACAATACTCGTATACCTATACGTACAAATCATAAGAATTGTACTGTAAATGTAAGTGATGTCAAAGAGGGACAGCGTTTGGAGTACCAAAGGATACCAAAAAATCGCAATGCTCAGTTCCTATAGCTAAAACTTATAGTTAGGATGCCATGATGTGTAAGAAGGTAACACAATTCAAATTCAAATTCAAATCCAAAATATTTATTTCGTCATGAATAAACATCATAAACAAAAGAAATTCTACATATAGAGTAATGACGAAAAAGGACAGTCTCTCGATTATAAAACCGATACATTGGACCCTTTAATACAAAGAGTCCATGCGAGAAAGCCCTGAATACCCTAAAAGTCCTTAAACAAAATAAAAAAAAAACAATAAAGAGGCAAATGAAGAGGCGGTGAAACACAAAAAAGACAAAAACGAAGAAAGAACCCCCGGGAGCTGGCAACGGACGCGAAAAACAAATCTTTACAACCTGTCAGCGAGTAGGAATGTAAAAAAGATATTTTTGCTCACACAAACGCTGATAAAGTAGCTGGCGATTCTGTAACAACGTTTTTGTCAGTTTTGAGAATGTTTTTGACGATGAGCTTTTAACTGAAGTTGGTAAATTATTCCATAAGTGAACCGCCACATAGGCAAACGATCGTCGGAAGAAACGCGTTCTATGCCTAGGGACGATAAAATTGAGATTATTTCTTCTTCTCTGGGGACTAGGCAAAGGCACAAATCTTTCTCTTAAATAGGGCGGTTGACCTGTTTTTATAACCCTATAGATAAAAGAATACATGTGATATTTTCTGCGATTCGTCGTGTTTAATATGTTGTAGTTATTCAGATAAGGAGTGATATGGTTTCGATATGGAATTCCAAACGCAAATCTCATGCAACTATTTTGAACTTTTTGTATGCATTTTTTGGTTCGCGACGATAGCGAATCACCATAGACGACATCTCCACAGTCAAAAAGTGATAAAATTAAGGTATTACACAAATAATATTTTTGTTTGGCTGATAAATGTTTTTTTAATTTGTTTATATTTTTTAGTCTCATGTAAGCTAAATTTGTTCTGTTTTTTATGTGACTGTCGAAGCCAAGCGAGCTATCAAATATAATGCCTAGATTTTTTGTCTCATGAACTATGGGGATTCTGTAATTGTTAATAGAAATAACTAAATTTTGTTCAAAATGTTCTCTTTCAGTACTGTTTTTATTCATAACCATTACTTGCGATTTTGAGGGGTTTAGTTTAAGATTTCTGATGCTTTGCAAATCTGTCAATTCTTTGGAGATCTGAATTTAGTTGTTGTTGTGCAATATGGATTGTGGTTTTATTGACAGGGAGATATATTTGTGAGTCATCTGCATATTGTTTTATCTTTGCGAATTTTACCGATTTGACCATGTCAGATATGTAGATTAAAAATAGCAAAGGAGATAAAATTGAACCTTGAGGAACTCCTCTTTTTATAGGTTTAAAATCGGTTTTGTAAATAGCAGAATCATTTGCTAACATAACACAGTTTGAACGGTTGCTTAAGTATGTTTTTATTAGATTTACGGAGTTCTGCGAAAACCCCTGGTAATGTAACTTAGCTAGTAACATTTCATGATTCAGAGTATCGAACGCTTTACTAAAATCTAGAAGAACCATGCACGTACTATTTTTTTGTTCTTGATGATGTCTGATATCATCCAAGATATTAACTAATGATGTACTTGTGCTAAAGTTTTTCCTAAAACCGGATTGACTATCGGGTATGATATCGTTTGTGTCACAAAAAAAATCTAATTTGATTATAAATATGCCTTTCTAAAATTTTGGATGTAGCGGGTAATATGCTAATAAGCCTCAAGTCTGTAAATTCTTTAGGTTCTGCTATTTTTGGAAAGGGTTTAACAATAGCTTTCTTCCATATTTCTGGAAATAATCCCGCCAAAATACATGTGTTGATTATATCCAGCAAGGTATTCGTACAAAATGGGATACATAACTTTAGGTCTCTTATAGAGCAACCATCCTCTCCAATGGCATTTGATGAGATATTAGTTACAATTTTGATTAGACTGGCCCTGTCTATCAGTTGGAAGATAAGAGAATCGTTAATGTTTACATTGTTTTTGTAAAAATTGATTACTTCTTGGGAAGCCGTGTCTGGTAAATTGTCGGTCTGCTGGAAGTAATTGTGTATGTCATTTACATTTTGTAAGTGTTCGGGTATAGTTGAGTCAGTTTTCTTGTTATGTTAAGCTTTTTGGTAGTGTCCCAAAATTCCTTACCTTTCTGTGTTGAGAGTAAGTTAAAGAATGTATTTTTTTCTCGGATAATTGCATGCTTTGTATAGTTCCTTAGTTGTTTATAATATTCAAAATGAGCCTGTGATTTTGATTTTTGAAATTTTTTATGAGCTTTATCTCTTAGTCTGATTAAAATTCTTATATTTTGAGTTATCCAGGGTACATAAGGTTTTTCGGTTATTGGTTTTGTTTTTATCGGAGCATGTTTATTCAGAACAGTTACTATATTTTTATTAAAGACTTCTATTTTTTGGTCGATTTGGTTTATATAGTAAATATCCTCCCACCCAAGTGGAAACCCTTCATTTGAGAAGGATTCTCTATCTATATTATTGTAGTCTCTATATTTAATAGTCTTTTGTGATTTATTTATTTTTGACTTTCGAAAGGCTGAATAAATTAAGTTATGATCTGAGAGATTTTGAGAAACTGCCAATGATTTAGAATCGATAGAGATAAGATCCTCACTAGCACAGATTATATCAATGAGGCTAGCCTCTTTTGTGGCAAAATTGAATCTTGTTGGCTCACTGATCCTTTGTGATAAGTTAAAACTATGAATTATATTTTTTAAGCGATTTGTGTATGCAGAATCATTTAAAATGTTAATATTTAGATCTCCTATCAGTAATAAATAATCATATTTGACACTCACAAAACCGAGAAAATTTTCTAAGGAGTCTAAAAAATAAGTGACACTCTCAGAAGGCGAACGATAAGTATTAACTAAGAGATAAGTTTTTCCACCTATCTTAAATTCTTCTATGGTTTCTGCATAGTTAATTTCCACATTTACCCTTGAATATTTCAACCCGCTTTTTATGTATAAAGCTACCCCTCCTCCTCGACCCTGTCTCTCATTCCTTATAAATTTGTACCCAGGCAAGCAAAAACTCGCACTTCTTAAAGTTGGATTGAGCCATGTTTCAGAAACTCCAAAAATATCAAAATTGTATTCTGTCATATAATTACAGAACTCGTCAAATCCAGAATTTATGGATCTGATATTTAGATGTCCGACTGTGAAATGGTTTTGATGTGGACTATCAAATATTGATTCATCATTAACACTCTCCGCTGACCCATGTTGTCATTATCCATTATCCCTTATTTCCTCACTATTGCCAGTCCCCGAAGAACGGTGTTAGCTTACAAAAGTAAGTGTCAGACGTCTAGGGGCACGCCCCCCACGTCCACCTCTAAATCCGCCACTGCAATTAGCAAAAAGTTATAATCCCTACATGAGTGCATATGTTCTCTACCAGACAGGACATGAAACGAGCTATCCATGACATCGCTATAATTTTGATTCTGATATAATATCGAAACTTATCTTGAGAGTGCGTGAGAATGATTATATGTAAGATTGAAAAATTGGAACGGGTATAGCTAAGCAAGTTTAAAAGACATATAGGTATATCCATGCTAATATCGTTTCAATGCAGTCAAACATGTCTCACATCACACATAGCTGGAGGTGTCTTCATAAATTTACAGGGCTCATGCTGCATCTGTAAGATATTTTTCCAAACAGAATATAAAATGGTTTCTGATTACGAAAAATAATTGAGATTTTTTCAGAGTTTACAGGTCCCGTACGCCAATTAACTTTTATATGGACAAAAAACTTGAGCTTTACACCTTAATAATAGTTGCATTCACTTTTTGATGATTTTGCTGGTAATTTTCAGTAATTATCTTAGCCTATTATGAGTTTTGATCGATAGGCTGAAGCTCAAGTCAGGCAAAACCACTTTTGACCAAGAACATCGGTTAAAAGCGCTTCTGACCGATTTTTCTGATCAAAAGTGCTTTTGACCGATTATGAGTTTTGACTGCAACATATACTTGTATAAATAATGAATATCTATATCTTCTAATAATTGAAAAATCATTCTGTACAAGCGTTGCATATTTGCAATTGAATATTGAAATTGAAAAATTATTGCCATTGTCTACGTTGCTTATATCGTCTACTACATGAATATCAAGACGTATACAATTACAATTCGACCCCAGCAACGAAGACTATAGTAACTCAAAAACCCTTGCTTTTGACCTACTATACGGTATCGGTAGACCTTATTTGGTTCTCTCTGGTGGAAGAATATGGTATGTCAGCCATGCAACTATAGGCAACCAAAAAATCTTATACGTCATATAGTAAGTATAACAGTGGCAGTTGTTCCCGCGAAAACTACTTCAAATTGAGTTACTTTAGTCGTCGATAACTTACTGTTAAACCTCCTTCTTGACTTACTATGATTTTCGAGGCATATTTTGGGGTTGCGGTAATTAATAGCGAAACCGTTTCAAATATTAGCTGTATGAAAAGAGCAGTTTTCAAAGCGAACTAAAATGAATTCAAGAACCAAAATAAGTCTGGCAGATGCAAAGAAGCTAAGTGCAGTTGCTGAACCGCTAGATTCAGGCAAGTTGGGTTCATAAATAGTGTTGAGTTCTTTTAACACAACAAAAGGGTTCAAACATAGCATCCTCTTCTTCTCCACGTTATGCATTGGGATCTATTGCATCACCAGAATTCATCTACTACAGTCCTCGGTTTTGCTAAGACGACACTCACGTGTTTGTTTTTCATTCGTTCATCTCCAAGTCTGTACCTGATACAAACCTATATTATAGACCTATATATAACTGATGAGAGCTGAAGAGTCCTGTCTGTGGTTGGTCGTGAATCCATTAGTTTTAAGTAAAAGGTAAAATCGGAAAATTGGAACAAAGACGATTCTAGAGAAAAGTTGAAAATGAATTAGATGAGAGCCTCGTGAAACCAAATATAAGTGTGACTACATTGATTATTTATCAGAGAATGAGACCGCAAAACAATACGCTTCAGGAACTACCTTTGCTCTACACAAGCTTGCTTCCAGTAGATGCTAGAAAATTAAATGGTTTATTAGACTTATGTAAATCAGCAACAAACAGTCTTCCTGAGGCTTACCTGCCTTTCATTTTTCTCTAAAAGCCAAGGAAAATAAAAAATACAAAGAGGACGTAATATTAACAGTGCTGGAAATACAGAAGTTGAGGACGATGATAGTGGAGAACATGAAGCTGAATACAATTTGACTGACTCAGATTGGCATTAAACAGGCTTTTGATCATTAGTTTGAAAAATACTGTAATATTTCAATAAATATCCTAGTCTAGAACAAGTGTACTTTTTCCTTTAATTGATCCAACGAAAACTATAGTAGGTCAGCAAAATTTATAAAAAAATTGTAATTTTCGCTAGGTTTGTCTAGTAATACCATTTATAACTTTCGAAATATAAGAATTACTGCAATGTGTGACATATTTTTGATGAAATCGTCATTTTTCTGACAACGAAATCCATCCATCAATGCCTATATCTCAGTTCAACCAAAACTGAGTTACGATAGTCTTCCTTGCAGCGGTCGAATTGTAAACGCCTATACAATGGTATATTTTACATTATGTCCAGCTCTTGTCATGAATACACATATTATTATGAATCAATAAGTAATTTGTTTCGTTAGGTGTTCATTTATCTTTGTTTATTTTGAAGTTGGACGTTACAGGTTGGTCCTGTATATTTTACGAATATTTAGAGGATATTTATCACATCCATGACGTATACAAATACATACATAGAATATCCATATCCACATATACTGATTCTTGTATATAGGCGGATATCTGGATATTCACCATTCACCTCATATATCCGATAGATATCCAATGGATGTAAGTGTGCTGTTTGGGTGGTTCGTATCGTTAACCTGTTCTCTCAAGTTGCGTTGGCCTACACGAATTTTTCATTAAAGTGTATAAATTTGAATGTCGTGCTATCATCATTATTCGTGTTGGACGAATTAACACTTAATGAAATTCTTCCAAAGCTAAATAAAAATATCTCTGCTCTGCCCTGCTTCTTCGATTTATGCCGTTGAAAAGTAGAAGGTTGAGCTTAAATATGGCCGCAGGTCCTTGAACGATATTCAAAAATCTTACCCACACTTGATACCATCGAAGAGATTCAAGAAATACTGTCGAGCGATAGGGATGCGTGAGTGAGTGAGATAACTGAGGTCGTGGGGATACAAGAAGAAAAGGAGCGAAACATCTTACGCAAAGAACTGATGGTGAGAAGACTCTGCGCGAGTTGGGTGCTGCACTTGCTGAATGCCAACCAAAAGGGTTTGCGCAAACGACATTTGCAAAAATGTTTGGACCAATTCAACCGGTTTTATGCGTCGACTCATTACCATGGATAAGAGATGGACTCACCACTTAACGCGAGAAGCAAAACACCAGTAGAAGCAATGGGTGGCAGTCGGTGGATCTACACCAAAGAAGAACACTCGATTGCATCAGCCGGAAAGTTCATCGCCAGTGAGATTTGGGAGGCGAAATGGGTTCTGTTAATTGAATACTTGAAAAAGATGTAAAAATCAGGTGACAGTACTATTCCGATGTCCTTGAGCAATTGGATGCCAAAATTCGTGAGAAGACACCTGACTCAAAGAAGAAAAGGATCATTTTTCATTGCGACAACGTATGACGTGTTTACAAAGATGTGCTAGCAACGGGAAAATTGCGAACTTGGGTTTTGATTCACTGGACTTTCTTTTCTCTTTCTCTTCTTAAGTCAGACCGTCAGACTTCCCAAATTGATGAAGATGTCATAGATGAATATTTTGACAAATTCCAACCTTTCACATTGAACAATGAATGCTATTGTGGAGAAACGTGTGTAGGAGTGAAAGCGGATTATATATAAAAATTAAATACTTTGTAATTGAAAATCCAGGCTTCGTGAGGCCGAGAGCTTCACCCTTCCCACGTACAGTAACCTACCGGCTGGCAGCGATCTAAGGAGTGGACTCAGCATCCATCTCACTGCCACATCACCCGTGCAGCGGGTCATTGCTGTGGAGGTAACGTCTTAACCCTCACCGATTTCGAATTATAGGATTATTCTCTAGTGCCAATTTCATAATGATTGTCTTAGACAGCCTCATCGAGCAATAAATTAAGCTGTTTCTAGGTCAGAAATAGTACCGGTTCTCAAGCCGATCTCTGAGGACCACCCCTTTGGAGTAATCAATGCGTAGATGTAACCATGTGGGCCACCGGTATTCATGTGGAAAGAAGAAGAGTCAATACCTACTCTAACACTATATTTTAACAGTCACTGTCTACATAGTACACATTAATTTTGTGCATTAAAATTTGAAAGCCTTTGTATCCAATGTAATATAACCGTCATCAGTAGTCAAATCTCCGTATATTTTTTCGATTATGTAGACGATCATTTTGGAGATGACCTTGTTGTTGTGGTTGACGAAAATGGCGAAGTTGTCATTCAGAGCTGTGTTGAGGAGAGCTGAGAACTCTGGGTTGTTCAGGATGCCTTGAGTATTAAACTGAAAAAGAAATCGGTGAAATGAACATGTTTGTTTTCCGTGTCTGTAATCATGAGTAACCGTAAACAGCGCTGTTCTGTGCTAATCAGTGCGGTCTAGTCTTGGAGACAGGTATGGTCTTTTAGAAAACTCAAAACATTGTGCACAATTACCTGGGAACCTAGAATGGTTGAGCCACAGGACGTTAGGGTCTTTTGGTCATTTTCATCGTATGGGATGACGATGGAAATGAGTTTGGCAGACCATTGGTAATTGGCGATCGTCAGATTTCCCTCCTTCTTGCGCACCAAGGAAGACAGATATAGACCAGATAATAGGGAACACAAGCAAATGGGACAACAACAAGTACGTCTAGTTATTTTTATGCTATGAAATAATGGCTTGATGGTAATATTTTTAAGAAGTCCGATGTTCAAGCCAAATGCATTACTTTCGGTAAAAAAAATATTGCGTCTGATTTATCTAACAGTGTTGCCGGCCGTTAAGGAAGTTATCGGATATGCTAATATCCCAATATTGCAAGTAAGTAAAAATCAGGGTGTTTTTCGAATCAAATTGGTTTTTTCAGTCAATATATATCACTATACTGTGACTGATGCCATATGAAATATACTCTCGATATCATGACGACATGTCATACTTTATGTGTTTTATATTGTCCTTTTGGCAATTTTTGTATTTTGTAATTCTATATTCCATTCCATTATACACTCTTTGTTTTTTTTAATTTTATACTCCACTTTTCAATATTTATATTTATACAGGAGATAAGGATCCTATCCATATGGATCTCAATAACTGTGGCAAATACAGCTTAGGTTACATCAGGAAAAGCTGGGTTCTTAGATGCGTATATACATGTCATTGAGAAACCTTCATGGCTTACTAAGATATTTAGGAATTACTAAAATTTATTTTTTTTCTGACTTTGTTTCAAGAAAGATAAAAAAACTAATGTTACTTTTTTACATTTTAGGCACTGCATGATGGTGTTTTTAAATGTTGTGCCCAACGGTTCGTCTTCGAGAAACCATCATTAACTTTAGTTTTTTATATGGTTTGCAAAAACAATTCGTTTTACTGACTTTTTTAAGTAGGCATTGTAAACAAATGCTTTACTTGACGTAAATGGTTGACACAGAGCATTGTTCTTATCGTCTAATTTTTAATATTGCTTCATTATCGTAAAAGATACCGGGCGGACATTTTAGCGATGAAGAACATTTCGACATGCCGACGTGAACTAGAAAAATACTAAAAATTCTGCAGAAATGTATCTCGATAGATTTCCTGAAAGATGACAGCCAAGCAAGTCCATTTTCTCAGGTCTAATTCGGAATTTGAATTGAGAAAAATGTAGGACAGCCCAATTTATTTTGCGTAAATATAGATGATATCACCACTATAAATTCAGGATTTTCCAACGATTTAGACCAGGAGATAGCGAACTGCGCCGTCATTTTTGTGAGTGGTACACATGTGTGAAGAAGATTTTAGTTTCTCTTCAACAATAATATGGGAGGATGGTCACTAATAATGGTATCGCCGCAACACTCATTACTGGGCTCAAGAAAACCTGCTTGCTAAAAAAGTATCTAGGCATCTAAAGCGTTTTCGGTTTAATATGTGGTGTCAAATTCTAGGGACCAAAATATTAGCTCCAATTATTTACCACAACTTATTAACTGCAGAATGGTACCTTTAACTGTTGCAACAATAAGGCCCGTATCGTCAGTCGTTCCTACAATTGTAGGACGCCTTTATGGCCTCCTTGATTGTCATACTCCTTCCTCTCCTCCAAAAATTTCTAGATTGGACCTGTTCTGTGTCAGCGTCAGCGCTCTCCTATTGATATAAATCAAAAGCATGCACAATTTGATGAAAATATGTAGATATTTGTGACATCACCTCAAAATAGAGCGCTGACACGGAAAAGCAGAAAACTATGACAATCAAGGAGGCCATAAAGGCGTCCTACAATTGTAGCCTTTCTGAAGGATAGAAAAGACCATGAAAATCAAGTAGGCCTCAAAGGTGTCCTACAATTGTAGGAACGACTGACGATATGGCCCTTAAAAACTGGATAATTCACCTTTGGCACAGGTGTTGGTTTCAACAAGATGGTGATCCTGCATATAACTCTAGGCAAGTTTGAGTGTATCTTTCTCTGGAGATTTGCAGGAAGTATCCTGGCCAGCGTGTTCCCCAGATTTAAATCCTCTGGATCTTTTTTGTCTGGGGTTTTATTGAAAACCAAGTTTATCATCATACTTTTGAAATTGAGCAGTCGTTACGCAATGTTTTGAATTCTACTGTTAGATATTTATGTTTAGAAAATAATGGCAACCTATCTATTGCAAATAAAATAAAAATATATTCATTATTCTGAATATCGCTCTATTAATCATCACTTTATAAAATCTTACAATCTTACATGAAGCATCTATTTGCAACGTCTATTTAAATAAAATGAAATTATAAAAAGATCTTTATAAATAAGAAAACAAATGTAACATGTGAAATACCGTGGAAGTAATAGAAAAAGGTACCGAGTGTACTTTTCTTCGGGCCATAAAAAAAGAAAGTTGATGATAGTTTCTCTAAAACGAAGCGTCGAGTACAACATTTAAAAACAACATCATGAGCGCCAATTAAAAGGTCCCATTAGCTTTTTAATATTACTTAAAATAAAGTCAGAAAAAATAAACTATTTGGACACATTTCACTTTTTCCCAATATCTCAGTAAAACGCAGGTTCTTCTTAATTGAACCTAAGCTGTATCTCCCACAGGTATTGAGATCTCAATACATAGGATCCTTATCTTGGTATAGCGGACGTCTTATGAGTAAATTTGATTGATCCATTTTCTACTTTTATTTATATTCAACCTGACTTGCTACAAATATGTCCTAATATGTAAAAAAACTGAATATACTCGTATCTAACTATCTATGTCATGCGAGGTCTGTAAATTGAGTGATGAAACTGGCAACGTAGCGTTCGATCTGGCAACACTGCGGGAGCCAGGTTTGGGAGACAGGCCAACATGTGATCCGCCTTCTGAGCAAGTCTGAACTTGATAGAGTAATTAGGTTGTCGTAGCTATTTTTTTTTGTGAGTATTTTCTATTGTGTTCTAAAAATGAGCGTCATCAATTTCAAGGGTACAGTACAATGAAAACTCTTGCTAAGCTTCAGCACGCCTACAAATATAGTGTTTTGTCAAGAGCCCAGGTTTTTGGGCGGTTTGAGGCATTTTCACAAGGGAGAGAGTCGACTGAAGGTGAATCTGAACCACGAAGCGGAACGTCTTCATCTTCAAGAACCGATGAAAATATCGACAGAATCCGAGAATTTCTGCATTGATATTCTTGGTAGACAGTCAGAATAATCGGCGAAGAATTAAATCTGACTCACACAGCAATGTGAATTAACGAGTTTTTGGCCAGTAAAAACGTCCCTATCGCTCCTCAAGCTCCTTACTCGCCTGACTTGAGTTCTTGTGACGTCTTTCTCTTCTCAAAGTTGAAAAATCACCTCAAGGAACGACTTTTGGGACAGTTCAGAAGAAAGTTATTTTGAGATTAAAAGATAGTAATTATATAATTATATTTGAATGAAAAAATTAAAAAAGCAGTCTTATCAGTTAATTTACAGACCTCGCAAGTCTAATGTCGGGTTCATGAACGACTTAACGTAATCTAATTTAAGAATCAGCTGTTTCTACACCAGTGTCCTCCACATGTTACGCCGCCAGAGGGGTAACTAGCTAGTGATTTCCAGTGGTGATCAAAGGTTTTGGTGACGTCATACCCATTTTTTGACATGATTGAATCATTCTATTGTTTTTGTTTGAGTTGTTGGCGAATTTGCTGTAGAGATTTGTTTTGGTGTTCGTTTTCTGGCGTGTTTTTCTGCGTTAGACTTGTTTTTTTGAGATTAATTGAGGATGGCCATACCTAGAGCAAACAAAACGAAAAGCCGCGCTGGCATTAACAGCTGACTTAGTGAAGAGGTACCTGCTGAAGGCACCTTAACGTAATCGGACATCGCCAGAGGAGCGCCTAATGATGACGTTGCAGTAAGAATCCAAATATATTGAGGTTATGGTCATTTTCTTAATTCGAGGTCACTTCTTAAAGTAACGTTCAAAATAATCAACCTTATCTTAAGAACCAACCAATCGGATCAGTAGCGTTGGTCAGCTGATCGCCACAGCTGGAATTAGAAGACGGGTACGAGCCATCGATACTGTACAAACGTCGATTGTCGATATTTATATCGTGATGTTCGATCGATTTTATAACGCTGTATGGACACATGGTTCGGTGATAGTTGTACTTGTAAGAAAAAAAAATGTAAAAAGTTATAATAAATAAAGTCAGTGGTCATGTTTACTTCATCCGGTAACAAAGTGGGTATAGCCTTAGTTTCAGCAAAACATATCAGTATTGCTACAGCATAAAGTAGATCAAAAAATAGCATGAAAAAAACAAACATGGGTCCTAAATTGCCTCCTTACCAAGATAGAGGATTTTGAAATTATATTTTAGGTAACGGAAAAAAAGATGGAATGGATTAAGATATGATCTTAAATTTTGTGCTTGTAGCACTGACATCATAGCTGATAGATACAAACACTTTTATATCTGAGACTGTACCAGTGGTAATGTTGCGAAATTATAGCCCCTACAGAAGAAAAAAGAGAATTTAAATATATACCATGCCTCCCCATGACACGTTTTTCCAAAATCTCAGCGAACGCTATGAAGGTACTTTGTCATTAACTACGAACTAGGTGTACACCTGGCCAATGCTGTTTATTCGCAGCCCACCAAATATGTAATCTCTTTTGATGTTTATTGAGGTAAACAGATGAGTAGAACGTAACTTCTTTTTGTGGTAATAACAAATCTGGTAAAGCCCAGTACTGGTGTTTGGTATCACCAATGAAAACTTGTTTACACATACATGCTTCCTCTGACTGAGAATTTTGGCAATCAAATGTATACTGCTAGATTGGGAAGAGCAGTATCATCTGAAAGGGCATGGTGAGATGACTATGTTTCTGTTTACTGTTTGCTGACCAAATAAGACAGTGATATAATGCCAATCATTTTTTTTTGTTTCACAGTGTCAACATCCTTCGGGGAGACAGTTGGAATGAATATCAGCACTTACTTTATGGATACCAAATTAATTGTCAATGACATCAGGACTTCAGGACTTTCCTAGTTTGAAGAAACAATTAGCATTTTACCTGTTTTTTTTTGTTTAGGGCAATTTTGTTTGCTTTCACCCATTAACAGTGTGTGCAAAATTGTTTTTGATTCACATATCAGAGAGATTATATTTGTATTCTAGTCAGTCCTCTAACTACAGATGTATTTCGCAATAAATATACATGATCAATTAACAAGAGATAGCGCTTGCATGATATTGCACTGATCAGGTTCGTAATATAGAGAAAAATCCAAATGGGTAGAATACTTCTATGTATGTACAATGTACTGTAATGAAGAATTTGTTCTATTATTGCTGGGACTGTTCAATAAATATTTTTTAGTTATTACATTTTTTTATTATCCTGAAATTCATTACTAGCCAAACTGATGAATGAAATACTTCCTTTATTGAGGATGTGTTATGCATCTATGATCATCGAACTGCCTCAATATCGGGAAGGTCATCAGTCAGATCTCGTAATGAAAATAAATGAAATCGCCGGCACGTTCCTGACATTCCTGATATGCGTTAGCGGCATACTTACAATATTTATAGTTCCACCAGATTTCCAGTCAAGAAAGGTAGCGCTGCCGTCGAGGTTATAGTCCAAGAAATATCTTCACATCAGCTCGGGAAAATATTGGATTCGGATTTTTTGCATGTTATTCTACTATTGCATACTCTAATTGTTCCAAATACACCTAAATTCCAAAAGTTAATGTTTTCGATTCATTAAAGGTAGTATTCGGTTTTTTTTGGATACTCCGAAACAAAACGATGTTTGACAATGTTGGTCTATAGTCGATTTTGTACGAGGTGAGAAAGTACAAGAAAATGCTTTTGCGATACCTAAAAACGATCTGAAAAAACGAAAATATTAATGTCGCCATGTTTTATAAATAACCATTAAGACAATTGCGATACCTTTTAGGAGATACTGCTATTATAAACCTTTGTATTTAATTAATCAGCAAGCGCACACTCAATGTAGATTCAGCGTGCACGAGAGATATTTCATCTCTCTCTCGCGTTCACATAGACATACGACTATACATTGAGCGCGCATTCAAGTCACAATTACTATGCAATTATTTACAATAACGCTAAAATGCTCTGGGGTTTTGTTATTGGTTTGTTGAAGCATGTATGATTGGGTAACATCAAAGTATTCATTTTTCATATTGTTTTGGGGTAGCAAATGGCATATTTTGAACTTCTAAATTGCTTATATCAAGTCCAGAGAAAACTTCCAAAGCTCATTTATTGTTCAGAATGTCCTAAAAACCGTAAAATACTTTACATAAAGCGAACAATACAATTTTTGGAATCAGTTTAATAACAATTTTTGGAGCAATTTTGAGCCTAGTCACGTGCAGATTCTGTTCTTGAATCAGATTATGCAGAAATCGGAATCGAAAAATTTTCCGAGTAGATACTACTTGTCAATGTCAAGGCAGGTCCGCAAGTCCACGTAGCACAAAAGCCACAAAACACTCTTTCATCCGCTACCTTGACGTTAAACATATGATTTTATTCGTGTGTTTAATGTTGATATTATCGCCATTGCTACATTGGCAATCCTGGCCGCGCATGCGCTTTAAAAGCTCATTTTCTTAAGTTAAGTTACGTTAAGTCTTGCTTGAACCCACCATAAATGTACAATACACCTTTAGAGCGTTTAAATTTTCCTGAGCAATTAGAAATTCACATACTTACCACTGAACTGCCGACATGGAACAGAATAGTGGCATTCTTAAGATCATCCAAAGATGTAGGCACTCTCATATCAATAATAAGGTTTCGGATGATCACACTAAAAACAAAAAATTAGTATATAAGTAGAACCCGAAACAGATCACATTATCTTTCAATACCGATAACAGACATAGACAAGAATTTCGCTATTTTATAAAACTCGTATCAATTCGTTGACTAATCGAGAACATGTGATATCCAATATGGCAACTGTTGACATCACGAAAGCGTTCGATCAGCTGTGGCACGCTGCCCTCTTAAGCAAACTTCCATCCTACGGCCTCCCAGAAAAGCTTTGCAGATGGGTGGCTGACTTTATCTCTGACCGCAAGATATCCGTCGTAATTGACGGATTCTCCTCTTCATCCCACAACGTCAACGCGGGTGTTCCCCAGGGATCGGTCTTGGCTCCAACACTGTTTCTCTTACATATCAACGACCTCCTTTCCTGCACGATCAACTCAATCCACAGCTTCGCTGATGACAGCACTCTACATGCAGGAATTCAGAGTGACAAGCCGATCTCTGCCGCTGAGCTGGAAAAAAGAAGACTAGCGACGACTTCTTCTCTGACAAGAGACCTGGAGGCTATCACTGCTTGGGGACGCAACAATCTTGTACAGTTCAATGCTTCCAAAACACAGTACTGTACTTTGACGAACAAAAAGCGTCCTAGCGCTCATACAGTTTCGATAGACGGTCGAGTTCTACCAAAGAGCCATTCATTTCGGCTGGTCGGAGTCCAGATCACCGAGGACCTGATCTGGCACAAACACATCTCTTCAATAGCTGCAACTGCTGGGACAAAGCTAGGCTATTTGTTTAGGGCTAAGAAGTACTTTTCTCCGCATGACCTTCTCACTCTATACAAGGCCCAGATAAGGCCTAGCCTCGAGTATTGCTCACACATTTGGGGTGCTGCCGCCCCGACTACATTGTCCATGCTCGATGCTGTCCAGAGGAGGGCGGTCCGACTGATCGATGACTCTTCTCTAACAGACAGTCTCGGGACTCTTTCGCACCGGCGGGCCGTCGGCGATCTAGCTCTTTTCTATCGCTACACCAACGGACTTTGCTCCTCAGAGCTCTCTTCCATGATGCCGCCGCGCGATGTGCCTCCCAGATAGACCCGCCTGACTTCGGCGTCCCATCCTAACCGTGTCAAACTTCGTACATCCAGAACTGGCCGATACGACCGCTCCTTTGTCCCGAGGGTGTCTAGATTGTGGAACAATCTACGGGAGGAAGCTTTTCCCAGTTCTACTAACCTTATGCAGTTCAAAAATCGTATTAACAAAATTTCTTTGGGATCATCATAGCAGCCGCGGTGTTCCGGCATTTAGGCTTCTGCCTGCGCGGCTGTTTCGATATAAAAAAAAAAAACACATGCTTCTAGCCATAACCAAAAGCGTAAATTTATAGTAAGTCTGGCAAATAAATCCATAGATGATGAATTCATGACTTCACAAACTAGGATTAGATTTATTTCTTGGAAAAGTTCTTATAGAATTGTATAGTAACTAAATCGTACTTACTTCATGTTTCCTGAGCCATAAAGTGGCACCAAATCTAAAGCAAGTGCATCAATTGCATACATGAAATTTCCTATCAAATCAGGCACATTTAGGGTGATGTCAGCCATATCATAGCCTTCTTCAACTTTTATTACCGAGGCATACGTCCTTTTCAAACCGTTTATTAGTATTGCGGAACTGTTGAGGAATCCACTGGAAAAACAAATTCAGTGTATCGAAATGGATAAAAATGACGTAATTACATAGAATAGGATATCCAAAAGCAGGTACAATTTTCAGCCTCCGACATATAAACTGAAAACCAAACTTGTCTGACGGCTTGAGTTCAATGTGTACGAGAGACAGGTGTGTATAGTCACATATGTTAGAAAGAGTTAGAAGCCGGCTAGATAGCGAAGCTCATCACTGCATTCCCTAGCAACGCTGACGCGGCAATCTGTTGCAATGCGTTGTCAATATATTACACCAATTCCTTGGATTAAGATGCATGTTGAAAATATGCATTAGTTTATTCTGTGCGAACAAACAATAGTTTCCTGGGTTTGACAGTAACCTAACCTATTATAGAAGCCTTTGCAAACATTTTCTGGTGTAACATATTAGCAACGTGACGGATTGCAAGTTATCCTGCGTCGCCGTTGCTAGGCAATATGGCTCTTCAGCCGGCTTCTAACTCTTTCTAACATGTGTTCATACAAACTTCTCGCGCTTCTTTCTCGTACAACTCAAGCCCTCAGACAAATTTGATTTTCCCTGCGGCCGGGATCGCGCAACGCCGTATACAGCGTCGAGCGGCGGTATACTCTGTATAGGTTTGAACATATCGGCTCTTTCCTGTAGTCCAAAATAGTATATACAGCAGATCAGATCGTGGCCAGGGAACATCATATCACTAATTTGTATGTGGATGGCAATATATAATCTCTGGTAGTCAGAAATTACTTGTTGGAAATAAGGAAACAATTTAGTAAAAGGATGGACTCACTACCGGCGAGAGTAAAGTGGTTTTATTTTCACATGCGGAAACAGTGCAAAGTCGCAGGGAGCAAGACCTGGACTGTACGGAGGGTGCTCAATACTCGGTGCACGCTTTGGCGCGGTGACTTGGAGCGTTGTCATGGTGGAGGTACCAAGTGTCCATTCTTGACTTTGGCCGCAGGTGTTTCATAGACTCTATGATTTTAGGCAAGCATTGTTCTGTGTACACTTAGCTGGGACTGTCTTCTGTGTGTAGAAAACGACACGCTATACAATCCGGCTCGATTTGAAAAATACAGCTACCACTTTTTTCATAACAGGTTGGGATTCTCTGACAGCTACGGGTGTGTCGTCATCATCATAGACCCAAACTTTTTTTAAAGCCTTGTTCGGCACATCGTAATAATAGAGCCAAGTCTCGTCACCTGTTATGATATTGCTCGCATAGCGAGATTGCCCCTTACCAAACATTTTCATCATCTTTCGGCACCAAGTCGCACGTTTTCTGCTCTTCAGTTAGACTATGCGATACCCAGAGAGAACAAAGTTTTTTTACGTGTAGATGATCATGCAGAATTGAATGAATTGTTGATGCATATCAGTAATATTCTCCTGTGTTACTGACGTTCGCGGCATTGCTTCACTCTCAGCGTCCTCCAGAGTGAAATTGCCCCTTTGAAATTCACTGTACCACCTGAATATAGTCGTACGATGAGGACAATAATAATTTAATGCAAGCGTCATTTCTTCTAAGCACTGGTCTATGCTTAAGCTAAGCGTAAAGTTATACCGTAAAACTGCCCTTATCTGACTACGTGACCACGATGCCATAGTCCGCACTTTACACTGTCTCAGCATGCCATAACATGCAGCCTCCTGCGTCTGTCTGTTAAGTCATACTGCAAAACTTTTATAGTATACAATTTGCGAAACGACCAAAATTAAACCTTTTTCCGAGAATTATGTGAGAACTGAATAGAAAAACGTGGAATCTCATGAATTACTTTTAAGAGTAGCGAGTTATGCAAACTTCTTTATACTCAAATTGATCACATGCAGCTCAGAGACATTTTAGGTACACAGAAGTTTTAACCGTTGTTAGCATACAACCATCGAAGGCACAACTGTTTTCAAAATTTTAGAACAACCTATATTTCTACTATGTCCCAAAACAGCCAGAAATTGAAAAAATGCCTTATAACAAATTTTTGCATTTTTTAAGTGTCGATGCCCATGGATTTTTGTACTACCTCAAAAAATAATCAGCTACTCCGAAAACATTCAAGAAATTAGGTTTGTCGACGCTCTAAAAATTTTCCTTTATTGGTTGAAGCATTTAAGGTATTCTATCATTAGCAGTAGCTATGTGTCAAAATTAGGTTAATCCGAGTAGCAACTTCTGGACTACAACTATAGGAATGGAAGTCTTCGAGGCTTTTTCTCTAAAGTTATATATATACGTATATATATATATATTATTATTCTGATACCCTTCTGTTGCCACCCGGGTACCCGGGTACCCATCAGCGTACATTTTGTTACGTAACTTTGTACCAAGTAAATATTGGCCAATATCCTCTTGGATCCCCATGATTTGACTCATTTCCTAGTGAATTATCCATTAAACATATTTTTAAAATTTTTTTAACTTAGAATACTTTGCATTTGAAAAAAATTACACGTCTCAGCCTTCCGGGTACCCGGGTACCCCTAAACAAAATACATAATGTTTGTGTATTATACCATAAGAAAATTGTTTCTTTATTCCTAGTATGGGGGAAATAAATATTAATAAAATAATAATAATTAAGTATATTCATTTCACATTGCTTATTTATTAAATAAAGTGCATACAATAATAATAATAGTTATATTTTTCAGTGTTATTTTTACAAGAAAAAATGAAAGTTACTGGTTGCAATTTACACATTTAGTGAGCTTAGCTGTCTGCTCATCACAAACGGGCTTTTTACATGCAACGCAACACTTTCTTGTCTTTCTTCTTTTAAGAATTGGTTGTTCGTTGCAAATGTAGCAGGATCCAATAACAACTTTTCTGCCTGTAGCATCTCGAGGTTGACTGTCAGAATTATCATAGACCACGGTGGCTGGTTTTTCGACGAAGCTTTCAACAGCAATTTTTGTGGAGTGGTTTCGCATTATTTGCTGGTTTGAAGCTCGCTCTTCAATCATTGGCATAGCCAATTCTTCTGAGAGCTGACGAAAAAGTCTGCGACGATTAGTTTTTTTTTGGAAACTATTATTTTCATAGTAAATAACATAAGCAGCAACTCCAGCAATATCCAGCATGTTGTAAAATTAAGCTAATGGCCTTCTGCATGTTCGCCGTTGAGTAGAGTACCTCATACACATTTGATCCATAGTACCAACGCCGGATTTGGTCATCTTATAAAACAATATCATCTCTGGTTGTCGATGCAGCAGTTCAGAAATAATGGCATCGTAGTGCATTGTGCTAAGAAGGATAACGGCTTTATTTTTTTTTTTGGTACATATGAGCACATAACGACTTTATCGTGAAAACCAAAAAGTGTCGACAGCAAACCTCTTGAATTTGACGGTTTAATTTCTTGAGGAATGTATGTTTTATTTTTTTCAATGTACCAACAATAGTAAGCTTCCAAGAAAGAAGACTTTCAGCAAGAGCTAATGTTGTGAAAAATCTATCCATAGTCATGTTTCGTCCTGATCCTTTGTAAGCTGCGACAAGCTCTTTCACAACTCGATCTCCCTGGTTTACTTCTCGAGTATTACCTTGCTTTCCTGTATAGAGAATCCCTTTGAGCGGATAAGCATTTTGTGCATCGCACACCCAAAAAACTACCAAAATGTACTTAGCAGGTTTCGAAGGAGGTGCACCGCTCACCTGTTTAGTACAGCACACGTGTCCTTCTCAGAAGTGAGGAATTTAGGGTATAGCTGTGCGCGTTTTTATATCTGCTTTAGGATTATAAAGGACACACATATAATTGTTATTATATTCCGCTTAAATACCTTCTTAGAACATGAATAAATATACATCCATCCAATGTATATAATTATTTAGTCGTATAGAGGACGCGGGTACCCGGGTACCCGGGTGGCAGACGCTGTAGAACTTTTTGGGTGGCAACAGAAGGGTTTTAAGACAGTCATCCACATACAGAACCTGTTTAATTTTGTGTACCGCGGTGTCTGTCGCTGCTTGTGGCTGTAGCGAGCAGGTCGAAAGCTGCGGTTATATGGATGAACATGTGCTGCCAAGCATGCACGTAACATCCGCTCATCTGAGAAGTACAGGGTGGCCAATATGTAAGTGACTGACTTAAATTGCACGCCATTTTTGATACACGCATTTCAGAAGGTGGCGCCGTAGTAGTTGTTTTAAGCACATGTGTTCAATTCATCATGAAGCGCTTCTTGTTCCCACAACGCGTCCGTATTGTTAAAACGTTCTACTTAAATAATGAGTCAATTGTTGCAACGATTCGGAAGCTACGTCCATATTTCGGTCGAAATAATATGCCCAGTGTCAACATCATTCGTCAGTCGTCAGATGAAAATTTGAACAAACAGCTCAAGTTAAATTAAAGACTTGCCAAGTGTAGTGGAGCGTACTGAGACATCTACCACAATACCACAATATAATTTCAGGATTTACATTTACTCAAAATTTACTAAATTTACTTAATGTTGCTTGTTGCTATATTGCCCCGAGCGCTTCAAATCTTCAAGATACAAATAGTTACATATCGGCCATCCTGTATGAGCCAGAGTGATGTTTCTGGCCTTATAATATGCTACTGCTACGAAACTAAATTCCGACAAGTCGGAATAGAATCACTCATCTATCAAACCCTATAAGCGGGTAAGCTAGGGAGTACCACCAAAAATTTTCAGTTCAGACTGGGAAAACTTTACGAACCGTGGGAACAGCGGTATCGTTTCTCGGCTGCTGGTACCGCTGATGCTGGTGGAAAGCATCACCAGCGAGAACAACACCACCACCCGCTAGACCATCAGAACGCATCAAAGGATACCCCTCTTTCCCACGGTCCGCAACATTGTCCTAGAACCCTTATGCATATTAACGAGTGACCTTTGTTTTCTTAGAAACAAACCCTGCAGGGGTATTACCAAAAGTGACATGACGTCGGTTTTTTTTGACACGATATATGTTTTTTGTTATTTTATGTAGGTTTTTTTAATAGATTTCAACTTAGAACTAGCTGCTGTTCACTTGATGTGCACTGTACGTGTTACCTAAGCATCGTGATGTTTGATCTATCATGGTTTGGCTCTAACGTTATGTATCATCAGCTTCAGAGATGTTATTATTGGAGGTCTAAGCTGTATGTTGCATACTATAGCTGCCGGGAACGACAATGCATAGGTAGCTTAGTGAGGATTTCTTAGCTACTAATCTGTGTTGATAATAATTCTCTTTGTTTCTTGTCTCAAATATACTTGCTTGATATAGGTATGCAAAGCTAGAAATTAGTTGCGCATCCACCCTTTCTTATGTATCCTTAACAGGTGAGAAAATAGGCTGCATACAGGAATATTGTTATGAAACGTGACCATTCTTTTCCATGTCCAGTCATTTAAATTTTTAAAATATTTTGTCTCACGTCAAGTTATGGCGTGCCGCAGGGCTCGGTGCTGAGACCGTTATTGTTCTTGCTATATGTTAATAATCTGTTCGAGATGGAAACTGCCGGCAATATTATATGTATAAACATAATTCAAAGTCTAAAAGTTTTAGCAGAAACAAGTTCTACGAAAGTCGTTGAATTTTTTAATAGCAAGAAGCTCTCAGTAAATTGGAACAAAACATATTTTTACTATATACTTCCTATGAACCCCGCATGCCACAATATCAAAGGCTTTACATTAATAATTTTACGATAACATCTCAAAGTAGCGTGAAGTATTTAGGTATTGTATCTACTAGACAGCCAGAACATGTCAGACAGGCGGTTAAAAGAATACGGAGCCGAGTCCCAGAATTCGAATTATACATTTGTATATTCAACCCAGACATTCTGAAATCTTTGTAGTTTGCTCTGGTTCAATCTCATCTCATTTATGGCATTCTAGCATGGGGTGGCCTAGCAACTATATACCTCAGTAAGTTGGAAGTAATGCAAACGTGGATACTTAAAACGCTTAGGTATACATCTGATAAGCTTTGCAAAGAAGTGGGAGGTTTTGATATCAGACAATTACTTTTCCAACAACTATCCACATTTCAACACTTTCATAAAGGTAGCAGTGATTATATTAATCATTGCCATAATACAAGTCAATGACGCGTACAACTAAAACTGCGAAAAATTTACAAAACAGTTGGCCTAAGAAGTCACAGGTACTTATGTTCCAAAGCTTTTATAGCCTTGCCGGAGCATATTAGGAGGATCAGTAAAGAAATTCTGTTCAAGAGAGAACTTAAGTTGTGGATCTCAAATGCTCCTAGGCAAAACATACATTATATAATATCTGTGATGATTATATAGGTCTCATAAATGTATTGAAACTGTTGCTGAGATGTCGGTATACTTGCTTTCTCTTTTTTATCCATTTTTCTTTCTTCCTTTATTTTCATCGATAGCGAATTTTAATAACATTATATGTATTAGATGAATATGTCAGTTTTTTTCACAAATGTAAAATTCACCGGCTGTAGACGATTTTATCGATTTTATATGCTTGTTTTAATCATACATTTTCAAAGTACCGATTATCGATTTTATGACCAATATTGTGAACCGGTTTTAGTCGAACTGTTTTCAAGTGTGTAAACTATTTTATAGTGGAATACATGAGTGACTCTTATTTTACTAATATTAACAATGGACTGGAACTTTTACAAAATGCGCTAGATACACATATGCATAATACGAGTATCCATACCAGCTTAATGTTTTTGTAAATTGTATAATCCCACGCACAAGCTTTCTTCTGTAGGTTTCCATACTAAACTGTGTAAGCTTTCAACTTCATTTTACAATATCATCGTTATTTTTGGCAGATAAAATTTACTCTACGTAGAAATTACAAATCAGCGCCTAGATGTGAGGCACTGCGAATATGTTTTGTGGGTTATGAGTCATTCCTACTTCTTCTGTGATAATTTGTATGTGATACAGCCTTAGACATAATTTTTAACATAACCTCTCTTCAGAAAGGATAACATAAATAAGCCGTCCAGCACAGCTATCAGTGATAAATGCCTTATAGAACAAATATCACTGATTTTATACACATGCAGACAAATATACACAATCATCCAGATCCGATCTTACTACTCATCTAGTTTTGTTTCTTTCACATCTTGTCAGAGATACATACTGTACAGACTACCTCGGCATTCTGCAACCAACAAAGCACGCTGGCATGTCGTTGATGCATTCCTCCAAATATAGCACTATGGTGACGCTCACAGCGAGCAACAGCAGAATAAACTATTTGTACACTAGCAGCTATCTAGTCACCAAGTCAACATTTTGTCGGTTTTTTTACATTATTTAGGTTGTTCACGTAAGAACCCTGCCGCTCCCTTCGTTTCTTCTGTCGTATATGTGACGACGATTTCGGACTGTACTTGAGCTACGGATGGATTTTCGAACCACTTAAAAAACTGGAATACCCTAATAATATTAATAATATGTGGGTCATCTTTATAGACAAAAAGCACTTCAAACGCGTCGTAAAATACATAGAAAATGTTAGATATAAATAAAACTGCCAACTAACTGTTAAACTACCTATCTAGCTACGGTTCTTTTCACGGTTTTTGGCAGTTCAAAGTAAAACTGCAGGATTTGCTTTCATACATCCATCTATCTCATACATACACATGCAACCTAACCCTGTGTGTGAACTTTTTCTCGGTAAGCTCAAAGACATACACTTTTTAGTTATGTTTCTCTGTCTCGAAAACTGTGTCGTTACGAATCATATTTGTCAGAGTGACAACGCACTTGACATCGGCGTGCAATCTGTTATCAGTCTTCTACGATCAATGGAGCTTGTGCTAAATCTATTAGAGTTTTTCCAGGAACAGAATGAAAACAGCGGTCCACTGTTACCCAGTTCATGCGTAGGTACTGAAGAGAGTAGCAGATGCGCTGAAGATTAGTCTGCGCCCATGGTAAGGAGACTCGATCTGTTTACTTATTTTATATGGCGTTAATGACGTAACCGCCAATAACGGTGACTACAGCTATAATAACCAAGTGATAACGTATCTAACCTACAATCTGAGAACACATGACATTAAACTCAAACGTACCGAAACTAACACACAATATATCTGCGACCGACCACACTATACAATAGTATTCTTGTATAAATTTGATCATTCAGAATTTTTGCTTTGTAATTTGACCTTTTGAAGAAATTGGTAGGCGGGATTTTGTGGAAAACACCATGCTCTTTACTTTTCTTCTATTAGTATCTCTGGGATCTCGAGGATTCAAGTAAAGATTATTATCTTCAAAATTCACGCACGAAGAGAGTGCTACAAGTTCATTATTCAATGGTCCCTGATATTTGGCATTTTGAAGGTTGTTAGTTATGTATGTCAGAAAAGATAAACCATCCAGTTATCCAGCTGTACGATTTTCTACAATAAACAGCATTGAGTTAGCATGCTAAGATTACGCTAGCTTGTATTAACGATTAGCCAGCGATAGCAATAAGCCAACCAATTACAGCTATATATATATATACAATAATTGTTATATCACTATGAGCATCACAAGGCAAACAAATTACAGCAATATCTACTAAATAATCTGCTGCTGTAACGGCTATAAATGCCGACATTATCTGGAGAGTAGTAACATCATTTACAGCACCCATGATGTTTCCGCTGTATACTTCTCGAAGTAAAAATATAATTACAAATGATTGTATTTATCGATCAAGTGTTAAGGTTCGACTAAATTGTACCTATTGTATGTCTTATCACTGGAACATGTCATCAGTCAATATCAAAAAAGTACTTACGTTAAGATTCCATCGTGATTGAATTCGAGGTGGATATCGTTTGGTGTGAGTGGATCGCCGATCTTTTGGATGATAGCGTTTAGGGTTTGTTTATTATATCCACGAGTGGGTCTTCCGATACAGAATTTTCAGGCTCTGAAAGCAATAACCTACATCAGGATCTTAAACGTTACAAGTCGTCTCAACATAGCTAAAAAATAAGAAAATATAAACTGCTATCTTGATTCGGGTCTAAAGGCCGTCGTCGGTTGGAAGGACCTCTGAAGAAGCTTGCCACTCGTGCTAGCGAAACGTTAGGAAGAAATTCCAACCGACGACGACCTTTAGACCCGAGTCAAGACAGCAGTTCATCAACTGGCCGCGAAAGCCTTAACCAATTTGTCATAAGAAAATATGTTTCTTCTAGGTACCTGTGTGTCTTACGAATATTTTGAATTTACCGCGTAATCTTCCATTCTTTAATAATTTATACTTGTAATTATATAGGGCATAAGTATAAAATAAGGTTGAAGGTGGCTTTCTGTAGTAATATAGACTGTAAATAGAAATAAATAACCGATATTTGAATCTCATGCATGTTCCTCTTGTCAATGTACTTGAAAAAGGCCACAGCAGTAGCCGAAACGTCATGCAATAAACATATACGTGCTTAGATTTGGCCAGAGTGCTATTTGGGCCTTCCATCTTTGTGTTTGCTATAGTAATAGACATTGTCGAACGCATGTGAACTGTTAATTTTTGATGAGTTTGAAAAATCGATATATGTACGAACCTTGTAAATATGGAACAGCGAAAACAGCTGTAAGTATACACACCAAGAACAGTAAGAATCTCATTCTGACTATCAGGTAAATTATTTACCACCGTTATAACAATATCTCTTTCAACGTGTAGCACTCGCACTTCACGTTTTCACAATGAATGACATTTTTCAAGACGGAATAAAAAATATGTATGTTTTGATACATTGTACTTTGATATGATCTGAGTGGCCACATATTTTTATCGATCAGGAATATAATAAGCCTTTGTGTCTTTATCTATGCAACTTATTATTTGAAGTGTATTCAAGCCATGCCTCAATTCGATGCGAGTACTATTATTGTTTGTTAATACCTGTAAATAGAGATTTGAAGCAGCTGCCAAAAACTGAAGGTTATCGTACTTGATTATTATTTGTGTCGACATTTGACTATTTATGGACTGAGTACTTGTTTTCATGCGGTGTCTATGTCCAGGATGCCTCAAAGATAGAATTTCCTATCTTGGATTACACTGAATTAGATAACGCATTTCTCATAGGGTGCTATATTAGAAAATTATCAAATATCCCCATATTATTTTGAAAAGATCTGAGATTTCTCATTTGATCAAGAGATGTTGAACTTCTACGTCTATATTCGTGACACTAAACATTTATTTATCATAATATTATAGCATCTTTAAAATAGGCTCATGTTATCTCGATCGTACTATCTCTGATATATAAAAAATATACATAGTTCAACTTTTAAGCGCAAGGTTAATAAGCTATGGTCAAGTTACCACCAACATTTTGCGAGTCTATCAAAAAGATTTCACTTTTCAATTACAGAATATGTAAGTCCATCTTGTCTATGTATTGTTTTGAATGATATACGAGTAATCACAGTTAAAATATGACCATCACGGAAGCCAGTTTTTGCGCGAGGGAAAACAGCCCGACCCTGAAGTCAGTCCGTGACATTTTTAGGTCAATCAATGACGTATTGGTGGTAACTAGGTTTTATTTAAATATAGATAGTTTCCGTTTGTATCATTTTAAAGAATGAACTCTCATTCGGACTTCACTTTACAGAGGATTACGTGAATTACGTGAGTGGGCGTAATGTCAATTTTGTGGTCTTCAGGATGTCCGACGATTGAAGAGGCCAGATCAGTCAAAACGTCGTCTCGAAAAGTCCGAAATAAAACCTTTGAAACAGTATTCTTTCTTACTATTCCATACAGTCGCGCCCGTCCTTTAGCTTTGGCACCTAAAAACTTCATAGACGTGAACCATTATCGCGGCATGGTGAATATGCCACAAGACGTGACCAAAAACAAAACATCTCATACCCTACCCTCATGCTGGCTTAGTGCTTCTGTTACCCCTGTATTCAAAAAGGGCGAGAAATCCTCCGCTAAAAATTATCGACCAATAAGTCTCGTTCCTATCGCCGCCAAAATAGCTGAAAGAATCATATTAGATAAGCTCCTGTCATTTGCTTTCGAAAATGACCTTATCCCTAAGAATCAGCATGGATTTCTCCCTGGTCGATCAATAATGACCAACCTTCTCCACTCTCTCAACGATTGGACTCAGTATCTGGACACAAAGACTCCTGTTGATATAATCTACTTAGATTTTTCTAGGGCTTTCGATCGCGTACCACATAGAAGGCTTCTGTTTAAGTTGGAATGTATGGGAATAAGAGGCGGGTTGTTACTGTGGATTAAGGCTTTTCTCACCGGGAGGATTTTCTCTATACGCGTCAGTGATAGCGAGTCTCACCTTCATCATGTAGCAAGTGGAGTTCCTCAAGGCTCTGTCTTGGGGCCAGTGCTGTTCCTTCTGTATACAAGAGACCTGCCCGCATTGATTTCCTCCACATGTTCAGCTTAAGCCGACGACACCAAGATTTACAATACTGTCGTAAATTCTGCTATGCTTCAACGAGATCTTGATATTGTTTGTCAATGGTCTGTCAGTTGCCTTTTACCCTTAAATCTAACTAAGTGTTGTGTCCTTCACCTCGGGAAGACAAATCCGCGATTTACATACAAGATCTCTGACCACAACATCGAAGCAGTTTCCAGCCACACTGATCTGGGCGTTGTAGTCAACGATCGTCTTTCCTGGTCAGAGCATATTCACCACGTTAAATCAAAAGCCAAGAAACTTCTATACATGCTGGAGAGGTCTTTCAAAGGATCCGATGTCAACACTTGCGCCTACATTTACAAGGCATTCGTGAGGCCAATTCTTGAATTCGCTGGCCCGGTATGGGACACTGTGCTTCTGCGCGATAGAAATCTCGTCGAATCAGTACAGCGTCGGGCTACTCGTATCCCTTTTGGAGCACGAAGACCAAGCTATGAGGATCGCCTTGAATTATTCAACCTGACCTCATTCTCTGAGCGAAGACTTCGTGGCGATCTTATAGTTACGTTCAGGATACTTCATGGTTTGATGGGCACCAACCTCATGCATCTATACCGTCTGTCGCGCAGCAATCTACGCGGACACAGCTTCAAACTGCATATGGAGCCATTTAAAACAACAGTCCGACAGTGGTTTCTTCCCAACCGCATATTCAACACCTGGAATAGTTTACCTGAAAGTGTGGTTGGTGCTACTTCAGTTAATAGCTTCAAAGTGCAATTATCATAATAATAATAATAATAATAATCACACATAGGACCGCATTTCAAGGGGGTCCTATGTAACATTTTTTCCTCGGGCGCTTCATTGAGAAGATACGGGGTTGAAGTTTAAAAACAACAAACATTTTTTTAAATCTCTTCAAAACCGTCAACTCTTACCTTCAATTTGCTACAAATAATTACTCTTGTGTTTTTTTACCAGAGTGCATTGTTTTCGTAAAAATAAAAAACAAATAAGATAATCAAAGCTTTATATCAATACAGATACATGTTTAAAAAGACCACCATTCTGACGGATACAAGTGCAGCATCTCTTTAATAAAGAAAAACGTATTTTCGCAAATTTGTTGCGGCTTGGATTTGATGAATCGCATTATCTATTATTTCTTGTAACTGATTAACGGTATTAGTTTGTTCATCATACACTAGTTGTTTAAAAGCGCCCCACAAAAAGAAATCCAGGGTGTTCAAATCAGGAGACCTCGCAGGCCATGCGGTTATGTCACGATGAACATGCGGTGGTGCACCGTCGTCCTGATACCACATCCGTACCCTCGTTGCTAATGGAACATCAGCAAACACATTTTCTGTGTAACTCCCTAGAAAAGCTAAGTATGAGTTTGCATTTAAACGTTGTGGAAATATGTGCATAAACAGTTGGCCTTTGAAAATGCCGCACCATACATTTCTATAAAATCTGTGCTGAAACGAGTGGATTCTTACAGAACGGGGATTTTCTAACGGCCTAATAATTAATTAATTCAACTCCTTGTAAAAAGCGATTCATCTGACTACAAAACCAAATCAATAAAATCTGCATTTTGATTATGCATTTGCAGTAACCACTCACAAAAATTTCGCCGTTCGTCACCGGATTGCAGACATTGCACATTTTGCCGTGTAAAACTTCTCGGTTTAAAATCCTCCACGCAACACTTTGGGAACGTGGTAACTTGTACTTGTACTAGGATCATCCAACGCCAAATTAATCACTTCCAATTCCTTTTTAACAGTATGCCGGACACCATGGCCTCTAACTCCTGGAAGTTTGTCAATTCCATATTGGGGAAGTCTTAGAAATGAACGCGTTAAAACCTTTGGGGGTAGGTTGGCGTCTGTCAGGAAATCTACGTTGATACACCCAAAAAACCGCAGTGTACAGAATCCGTACACAAAAATAATATCGGCGTACTCATCATTGCTAAATTCCATTTCACAACACCCAAAAATGGTAAAAGGTAATTTTTGACTTGACTTTTACAAAAAAATAAATGGTAGTAGTACCGGTAACAACCGTATAACACATAACTTTGACGAACTCAAAAGAAACGTGAAGTTGGTATCAAGGCCTCCTATTTTATTTTGAAACTAATTGTATCTCGGCTCTTTGTGAATGATCTAATTTGTTTTATTCTTATTCTTACGAAAACAGTGCACTCTAGAAAAAAAAACACAAGAGTAATTATTTTTAGCAAATTGAAGGTAAAATTGGAAAAATTGCACGTTTAGAAAAAAAAAACAGTAGCGTACTATTTTTATTTGGAAAAATAATGCCACTAATCAACTGTATCTCCGTCACTGGTTCACGTTAATTTCAAGTAAAGATTTCTGAATGTGGACAATAGGTAAATCCACATATCAAATTTTAGTTCATTCCAGTTGACGGTTTTGAAAATATTAAAAAAAAGTTAACATTTATTTGTAATTAATTTATTTTCAATACCCCCGTATCTTTTTACATAGAAGACCCCCTTAAAATGCGGTCCTGTATATGATGTTTCATTTTTGGTCGCGACTTGTGAATCACGCTGTATAGCATGTTAAAAAGTTACTCGCACTTTCGCCTAGTCTAAACTATCACTTATCGTTCAATATTATGGTGAATGTTCTTGCAGGCGCTCTCGTCGCAATTTCTGTTAAATAAATAATAAATTCACTATACTCAAGTATAACTTAATTACATAAATATTAGATATTATTTCCCTGCAAAAAAAGTCAACAGAAACACATTATTTAAATAAATATTTTTTTATCGTTTAGGTATAATGCATTGATACAAATGATATAACGTATTGTTGAAATGGTACCAACAATTCGCCCTAAAATTAGATGATTAGCAGTTGGTGGTCTGGTACCACTATAATCAGAACATGTATAGAACAGATTTTTTGGAAAAATACATGGCACAAGCCAGTCAGTCGCTTATGTAGTAAAGTGACAATCTACCGTAACAACCAATTATAACATAGTAGTAAAAATAACGTTTTTATACAACTATAGTAGCACTTAATAAATTCATTTCAATCATAAAATTCTTAACAATAACATTCTGGTATAACTAAACATTTTTAATAATCCCGAAACTGTCCACATAATACGTGAGAATAGCGTCACTATGTTGTACCGTTGAGCTGTTCAGAACTAGGTAGGTGCCCCAAAGTAACGTAATGACTTTGCTTTATAGAGGATACTAATCTTGCGACGCATCTTATGTCAGTTTATCGAGAAAGTAGGAGCAGCAATTAGTTGGCAGCTTTTTTCAGTATTCTCATCTTTCAACCAATTTTAGCTAAAATTGCTTAACCCCACACGCGCACAGAATTGTCCCAACTGCAGGTCGCTATAGCCACTCCATTGCTAGCTACAGATAACGAAGTCACTCGGTTTTCGTGTCCTGCCAAAGTCCCTGCAACAAGAAACAATTGAAAGTAAAAAATCGATACTTATGGAAACAGATAAGAGTTTTCTGCTAGATCTCATTAACATTGCAATGGTAATATTATTTCATAGTTCGACTGAAATTTTGGCACCCCTTGTATTCATACTATATAAAGCGTGGGCCATTAGTTGGTTTTTTTAGTTTGGTATTGTTTTGACAATTGGTAACACTTCCATGCTCAACATATTGACAGATATATTGTGTCAAACTTTCGCTGTGATCAATGGATCATTTTAATCTTGAACAAAGGTGGGAAATATTGAAAGACTATTTTCAAAGTGGGTGCTGTATTGCAGAAACTTTGCGAAAATTGAGAAGACTATTCGATCAGAACGAAGCTCCGTCGGCGACCGCTATTCGAAAATTCATGAAAAAGGTTCGTGAAACTGGCCTACTTGTGGATAACAGAAGGTATGAACGTGTTCGACCCGTACGTTCAGCTGAAAACATTGCTGCTGTTGCCCAGAGTGTGCGTGAAAACTCAAGAATGTCAACTCGTCACAGAGCACAACAAGTGAGCATCAGTCGCACTTCTGTGCGGATAATATTTCAGAACGCCCTGGGATTATTTCCTGACAAGGCGCAACGTGCAAGAGTTGGAAAAAAATGACCATTCGCATCGCCTGTATAGGGCACTGATAGCAGCTGTCCCGTAATTTCGATCGGGAAAATTTTTTAGACGAAAAGCGAGATAACCGAGGTATTTACTATGGAAACTGACCCAGGGGGGTCAGGAAATGGCGCTTCCACCATGGCAATGGAGATGGAGTCGAAGGAGCAGACCATAGAGGAGCTGAGAGCCGAATTGGAGATGGTTCGACAGGAGCTGTCAAAAAAGGACGATGATAAGAAGACCAATGAAAGATTGATGATGATCATCGAAGCCCAGCAGCGGACAATTACCGACCTAACAGTTAAATTAGACCTCCTACTGAAAACCCAGGTACCTTCCCATCTAAATATTACAAATTCTTCCCAAACACTTCCCAAAAATCCCAGTAAAGACAAAGCTGTCAATCTTAAGATACCGTTAAATAATTCAAGCGATCTTTCCAGAGACGGCGATACACTCCCTGACGGTTTTACCAAGGTTAAGCCCCGTAAAACCCGACGAAACAAGACCGACACGACAGGCTTTCCTCCTCTCCCTCCACCAAAATCGCAGTCTGAAACGTCTCATTCAACTGCAAGCGACTCGAATAAACAGCCTGTGCCTAATCTATCGGTTACTTCCACGCCTTCGACATCTCAGGTACCAGAAGACACGACTGCACAGCCCCCGCGCAAGGTACGTGTTACCCCCATCGTTCTTCGCGATGCTTCGAGATAGCGAGGCGTAAATCACGTTTCACAAGTTTATTTCTTTGGGCATCAAATTCGAACGCGCGGTTGCCGTCGATGCAGGAATCAGGATAATTCCCAAGTCCGAGGATGATTACCGCAGGATTATTCGTCTCTTCAGGGAGGAAGAGGTGCCCCATCACACTTTCCCTCTACCCTCCGAGAGGAACATTCATGCTGTAATCAGAGGAGTACATGCGACACTTTAGGAAATTGAGATCAAGGAAGAGTTGCAACAGAGGGGAGATTCATTCCCCCCTGCACATAATTCGCCTGAAACGCGGTGGCGGCGTGCCCATGCCTTTGGTGGTAGTCATACTGCCCAAGACAGAAAAATCTCAGCAGCTGTTCAACGAACACGAGCTGCTAGGTTTGGCTATCCGAGTCGAAGTTCAAAAGAACTCAAGACTCATCGGGCAGTGTCACCGCTGTCAAAAATATGGGCATGCGCAATCTTACTGCACTGCACCACCTAAATGTCTAAAATGTGCTTCTGACCACATGACCCACTTATGCCCTCAAACAGAACAAGAGGAACGAAAGTGCGCGAACTGTGGAGGGGGCATCCAGCGAATAGCCGAACTTGCAGATTTGCCCCTAAGAAAAATCTGCAAGTGATAGCGCAAAGGCGCAATGTAAGTTACGCGGATGCAGCTAGGGATGCAACCCGGGCTGCCCCCTCTGTGGGATCTTCTGCGAACACGCAAAATGTGGACCTGGCAACCGCGCTAAGGTCCTTACAGCAGATCATAGGTCCTCTGATTAGCGCAACACAGGCTTTGCAGGCGATCTTTCCTGCAAATGGCTAGGTACAATCGACGACAGCCTGCATTTATCAAAATTCTTTTTTGGAATTGTTTGGGTCTAAGGGACATTCCCAAAAGACGGTAATTTCATCAAGCTCTTGTGGACGAAAGTATAGATGTGGCCTTGCTGCAGGAAACATTACTTAATCCGGGAGATCGTCTAGCTTTCCCGAATTACGATGTTATCCGGGCTGATAGATTGACTGGACGGGGTGGCGGCTTGGCAGTGCTAGTGAAACGCGGTATTGACTACCACAGAAGCACAAACGCTGACATGCAGAGCATCGAAGCGGCTTCCGTGGTGGTCAATATGACGGGAGGTGTGCCGTTAAAAATCACATCGGTGTATGTCAGGTGTGGTAACAGGCTGCAAGAGGCGGATCTGGAAGTCCTTTTAGACTACTCGGGTCCACTTATTGTGGCAGGGGACTTCAACTGCAAACATCGAGCATGGCATTCCAGGTTGAATTCCACCAGTGGGATCCGACTGTACAACCATGTGATACGAAATGGCTACCTCATACATAGTACTGAGGAGCCGACGCACCACCCATTTAATCATCTTCAGGCACCTGATGTTCTTGATTTGGCATTATCCAAAAACTGTAGCTACAGTATCACTTCTCGAATCATGTATGACATCTCAAGCGATCATCTTCCCGTCGTTTTGGAAGTGGGTAATGTGCAGATATTGAAACCCCTCCAAGGAAACGCATTGACTGGGTATAGATGCGGCTCAAGCGGTGTGGAAAAGTTTTGTTCAGCAAGCTCTGCAGCGTGCAGCTGTACTTCCCGTGCAGCGACACGGCTGACCTTCTCTGCCAGCAGACATTCGTCAGAAAATTTCTAATAAAAGGGCTTCAATTAAGTAAGCGAAAAGGTCTTGTCATCCTGATGACATTCGCAGAGCGACGAATCTTGTTCATGAAGTAAGAAATGCTCTTCATGAAGCAATGGAACGACTTTCTGGCGGGGATGCTTGACTCAAGCATTCCTCTCTGGAAGGTGGCGAAGTCGCTCTAAAACGGAAAGCGTGAACAAATCCCACACATTCACGGTCCTGGAGGCATTGTCTTCAGGACAGAGGAGAAGGTTGAGGTTTTCGCTGATGCCATGGAAAGACAGTTCTCTCCCAACTATGATCTTGATAATGACCTCGACGAGGAGCGACACATCGTAAGATCTGTCAGGAGATATTTTATTGCCAATGGCGTCAGTGACAGTCGCGCATTCGTTGGTGATTTTTCTTCATCAGAAGATTCTTCTTCAGAAGCTTCTTCAACCGAAGATTTGCTTAGCACTTCAGCGGTATCTCCTGAGATCCCGCATTGCACACTAGCAGAGATTCAAGGTCATATTAAAGACCTTAAAGTGCGTAAAGCACCTGGGGAGGATCAAATCACTAATAAGGTGCTGAAGCTGCTTTCGCGGAAGTCCTTAACTTATCTCGTGGCAATAGTCAATGCCATGCTAAGGATCCAGTACTTCCCATCCGTGTGGAAGACCGCTGAAGTTATAATGATTCCAAAGAAGGTGGGTTCGATATTTCCCCAGGATTATCGTCCCATTAGAATGCTGTCAGCTGCGTCTAAGCTCGCTGAAAGGTGATTCTACGTCACCTTGAGAATTTCTCGTCAGATGACCATGTGATTCCTGACGTGCAATTCGGTTTTCGGTCTGAACATAGTACGGAGCTACAGGCGGTTAGGGTGGTGGAACGAGTAACCAGAGGATTCATCCTTAACGAAAGTACTGGCATCTTGCTTTTGGATGTCTCAAAAGCATTTGACAAGATGTGGCACGCGGGCCTCTTGTATAAACTAATCCAAAGGGCTTCCCTTTTTGGCTTCTAAAACTACTGAAATCCTTCCTTGAAGGTAGGAAATTTCGGATCAAAATTGACAATGAGCTGTCGACAACGCGGCTGATTACAGCCGGCGTCCCTCAGGGTTCGGTCCTTGGACCTATCCTTTACTCACTGTACATCCATGACGTCCCTAGTCCCAGCAACTGTGAAGTCTATCTCTATGCTGACGATACTGGATTGGTGGCTCAGTCGTGGTCTGGTGACCTAGTCCATGACAGGCTGCAAAGTGTGGTGGAAGAAGTATTGGATTGGGCGGATCGGTGGCTAATTAAAATAAACCATTCGAAAACGCAGGCAATCTACTGTACAAAAGACGTCGCGGCGTTCCGTCTGAAGTTTCAATGAATGGACTTCGTATACCATGGGAATCCTCCGCTAAGTATCTCGGTGTCATTCTGGACAAAGGGATGACTTGGCGGAACCATATGGAAGCGCTAAAAACTAAATTCCAAATTACGTTTCGGCAGCTTTACCCATTATTATGTAAAAGGTCAAAATTAAGTTTGATTAACAAGATTCGACTCTATAAGGTGGTCATAAGACCAGCAATGACTTACGCATGTGCGGCTTGGTGTTTTATTGCTAAAACACACATGCAAAGTCTGCAGGTTCTGCAAAGCAAGACGTTGCGCACTATTGCTGATGCCCCATGGTATGTCTCTAACGAAACTCTACATAGAGACCTAGATGTCCCTTACCTAAAGGACTACATTAAGCAACAGGCGCAGCGGCGCTATAGCCTAGCGGAATCGCACAGCAACCCTCTGTTGCGTGAGTCAGTGGACTACACAGTCGAGCAAGTTCGCAAGCACAAAAGGCCGCGGCTCGCACTGTAATCAAAATTAACTCGTGAACTTAGAACAACCAAAATTGGAGCATTTTTACACAATCTTTAGAAAAAGTCAAATAATTTTAGACCATATCAAAATCTGTGAAGCGATTTTAACAATGCC